ATCTATCTATCTATCTATCTATCTATCTATCTATCTATCTATCTATCTATCTATCTATCTATCTTCTCATATAACTCAGACTAGCCTTTAACTCTGTCCGTCCATCCATCCACCCATCCATCCAGTCTCATGCAACTCAGGCTAGCCTTTAATCATGTAGATGAACATGATCTTTAATTTCTGATCCTTCTGCCTCCACCTGAGCACTGGGATTACAGATGAAAACCACCAAATCCAGTTTATGCAATGTGGGGTGGAACCCAGGGCTTTGTGCTGCTAGGCAACATTCGCCAGCTTCATCCTAACTTACCCCATGTGCTTCTGTTGCCTCTTTCCATCTGTCTTCAAGTCTGTCCTCTGGACTAGTAGTTTTCAACTTTAGCTAGTTTTGCTCTCGGGGGACATCTGACCATGTGTAGAGCCATTAAGGGTAATGTCCTTACAATTAGAGGGAGGGCCACTGGCATGCAGATGGTGGCTGGGGTTGCTAGCCACGGAACTTCTGACACTGTACAGGTGAGTTCCATAAGCAAGGCCCCTGGGGTGGTGGGAAGAGACCTGGCTACGATGCATGTCAGCAGTGTCAAGGTGGCAGATGAACCGGAAGGAACCACTGCCCACATATTTCTTCTCAGACAGTAGTGTATACCCTCAAACAGGCTGGAGGGACTGAATAACTATTCTTGCCCCTGAGGGAATCCTGTCTTGTAGCAGGGCATAGAGCTGCCCACATTCTGGGGAAGTGAGGCTCTGACTATGATGCTCCCCAACTGTGTCAAAGTGGCAGCCCAACTCGGAAGGCATTTCACTAGAAGATTCCTCTGACAAGGAGCAGGGCCCTGTGCCCCTGGATTCTGCTCTCCACTGGCATGCCAAGAGTATGGAGCAGGGCCTGAGGTGCAGCAGGGCCAGGGCAAGGCTGCCATTCTTGCCGCTGATGGCCACAAGGCACTCAATTCCGGTTCAGCAATTTGTTCAAGGATGAAGTAATCTTAAAATAATTTATTACTGCATCACATGTGCATGCCACAGAATGCGTGTGGAAGCTGGATAGCTCCTTCCACCTTTATGTGGGTTCCTGGATCAAATGCAGACTATCAGACTTCATGGCAAACACTTCTACCCACTGAAATGACTTGTCCACCCTGAGGTAAATTTCTTTAATAATTCCATGGGGGATGGGAGTGGGGGAAACCTGTTTCTGAGCAAGGTTGTCTTCCTTCAGTAAATATACTGAAAGTTAGGTTGTCTTTTAAAAATTGGTTAGAATGGCCTGTGGTATGTCATTCAGCACCACCTTCCATGGTTTTACCTCATAGCCAGTCCTTTTCACCTCAGAGAAAATGCCTTCTGAGAAGTCAGACAGCTAAACACACCCAGTGAAAAGAGCTGCCACCAAGGGGCTCACGATGAGCTGGTGGCCCAGGTGCAGGCAACAGCAGGTAATACTATACATACCTTGCTCCCTGTGAGCTGTGCAAGGTGAGGTTTCAGATCTTCTCCGATTACGGAATAGATTGCCACTAAGCAAAACACGCTGGCCTTCCGTACACTGCTCTCAGTGTTGTCGTAACCCTAGAGAGTGGAGGGGACAGAGAGTGAGATCAAAGCTGTGCCTCCTGTCAGTGCTTCAGCATCCAGACGCCCTCAGAGTGCAACCCTGAACTTGTCAGACCTGCACGTGAATCCAGAGAGCTCTGGCCTTGCAGGGTCAAAGTGGCTGGCTCCATGAGTGGTATGCAGGGGCAGGGAGATGTGGGTGCCAGGCTGGCTGCTTTGTTACAGGGTGCTAACACTACAGATGGTAAGAGGGAGGAGGAATGGAAAGAGAAAACCCCCGGGGAGCAGTGGAGAACCAAATACACCATCCAGGTTCCTCCTGGTAGTGGAGAAAACTGCCTGCGTGGAAACGGCTTAAAGAAAAGAGAGGGCTGGGGTACAGCACAGGAGGCAAAGGCATGTACTACCAAGCCCGCGGGGTGGAAGCTGCTCTCTGACCAACACGTGTGTGTGTGTGTGTGTGTGTGCGTGAGTGCATGCATATGCATACACACACACACACACACACACACACACACACACACACACTTTAAAAAATACCACCAGTCATTCCTAAAAGCAAGATTTCTCTACTGTCCAGGGACTGCAGGGACTTCCTGTGTCCCTCATGTCCCACCTAAAATGGGGCCATGTGCTTTGCTGCAGATAGCTCTGGCAACTGCACAGCCTTTGTGTCTTCCCCTCCTCCTGGGACAATCTAGTCTTCAACACTAGTCCAAACAAACCCTTGCAGACAGCAGCATGCACGAAATGGGAAGTTGGTTTCTCTACCTTTCTTCTCTGATGCCTGCTCTGTATGTGACACAGCACAGGACACTGTCGCTTCAGCTGCTATGTGGTCCAGCCATGTCTCATGGAAGGCTAGGAAGCCTCTGGAGCAGGAGAGCTCCATCAAACACAGACACAGGACAGGAAAGTATGCATGACGTATACTCCCTGTGCTCCTTTGGCCCAGGGCTGAACCACAGGAGGTATGCAAAAGGCATTTGTAGATGCCATGCACAGCGTATGTTTACACTAAACAGAAGGTTCATTCCCGGAGCCACAGGGTGGTGTGCACTATCAATTCTCCTCTGCTGCATGGAGGAGCACGTGGGCTAAGATGTGTTTGTGCGAAACCGGGCCTGTCAGCATCCTGTTCTGGGGGTAGGAGAAGGGCCCACGAGCCCCTAATCCCTCATCCAAGCATCGACAGGTAGTAAATGGTTGCTGGGAAAGGGAGAGACATCTCCATCGGTGCAGCACTGGCAGGGTAACCCCTCATCTACACTCCTGGAAGAAACCCTTAGGAAACTCACCAGGTTGTCAAGAAATAGGAAGATTTCTAGTCTAGCATCAGTGGATGTGTGCTCTTGAGATCCTTTGCCTCGTTACCAAAGGGCACTATGTCTAAATGGGCTTTGCTTGATTTTAATAAGTTAAAATAAGCATCAGCTAGAGAATATTCTCTTGTGTAAAAACCTGAGTTTTTAAAATCAAACAAACTAGCAAAAAAGTAAACAAAGACATGCGAGCAGATGAGGGGAGGGATCCTCAGGAGATAGGAGAAGGCAATGGGGGAGACACGACAAGAGGCACGGCATGAACAGGCCACAGTGAAACCCATTATTAAAAATATGCAAACAAAATACTTTGCAAATAGAAACAATGTAGGTCCCAAGGACAGTGTCGTCACTTGGGGCTTCCGGTCTGCCCCCTTCATGTTGCAGTTGGACCTCACTGGGACGCGTACCTGCAGCAGGCCTGGGATGATGTCGACAAGGAGCTGCAGCAAGGACTCCTTGGTGATCCTCTCCACCACTTTTGTCTGCATCTTGATGGCAGCCAGGTTGATGGGGTAGTCGGCTGTCTGGATGATTGGGCACAGCACTTTGATGCACTGCTCGGGGTGGATGGAGCTGGCTAGTGTGGATGCAGCCTCCTCGGCAGCTCTCACCACCTGAAAGAGGACCTCACAGTGAGTGGTGTCTGCCTCAGGAGTTTTGAAAAAGACCAAACACCACTCCTGCGTGGCTCCAGAAGTCAGATACAATGACCCGCTTCCTCTAATACTGCTAAGAAAAATTAAAAACAACCTGGGTTGTTGTGTGGAAAAAGGAAGTACAGGCCTGGGGCCAACACTTCAGCAGGGTGGTCTCCAAATGTGTCCCCGCTCACGTAGCAGCAACTGCACATGTATTCACAGCTGCATCCACCACCTTGAGATCTCCTTAGCAACGTGGCTTCTCAGCCTTCCCCAAGGTGCTGCCTCAGAGACAATTCTTACCACAGCAGTAGAGAATCTCTACCCGGAAAGATTAGGACCTGAAAGTCAATACTTTCCAAGGGCCAATGGGACCCTCTGACACGAAGCCTGGAGAAAATTAGTCTTCTAGACTGATGTTCCTGGGAGGGGCTGGGTCTGGGAGAAGGCTGTTTTCCTAGGGAATCTCTTGTGGAAGCTGGTGGCCAGGAATCTGTGCTCATGATGCTCTTTACCTTGTATTTTTAATTTGTAATTAGCTAGTTCATTATATCCATCCATCTTTTTAAGAAAAAGTCTCTCTCCCAGATTGGGTTTTAACATAGTATATAGCTGAGGATGACCTTGAACTTCTGATCCCTGTGTCTACCTCCCAAGTGCTGGGATTTCACACAGGTATCACCAGCCCAGTCTGCGCAGTGCTGGAGATGGAGTCCAGGACTGCATTCAGGCAAACATCCCAGCTGAGTGACTACATTCTCAGCTCCCTCCGTGCACTTTTCAGGAAGTGCATAAATGACTGCCACACGGCTGAGGGAGCAGCTCTGACTTCTGGAAAGCTCTTAGGGTGCTGCACGTCCCCTGTAAGAACTAGTATTCTACTTCCTCATCTGTAAAATGGGATGTCTCCCAGCAAGGAAGCACCTTAGGTAAATGCCATGTAAACAAAGACAGCAAGCTTCACGCAGGCAAGTTACAGTGAGAATCTCCTGCTCTCCCCTGACCCAGTCCTGGACTGCACACTCACCTTCAACCCTCCTCTGCAGCTAATTCTTCAGTCCAATCTTCACACAGTAACAAGACTAGCTGACACCCCAAAGCTTGGATCATCCTCACCCTTGCGATGATCACACACACACACACCACACACACCACACACACATATTTTGGGGGCAGTGGGCATGGGCATGCTATGTGTATAAAGGTCACAGAACAATTCAGGTCAGTAGGTCTTTTAATCTGCTGAACTGTCCTGCCAACCATTATTTTTTTGTTTGTTTGAGACAGAGTCTTTCTATGGAGCCTATCCTGGAACTCCCTCTGTAGACCATGCTGGCCTTGAACCCATAGAGATCTGCCTACCTCTATCTCCCAAGTGCTCTACCCTACCCAGTGAGAAAATATATAGCCATTAAAAATATATTTTAAAAGTTACTTTTAGCCAGGCAGTGGTGGCGCACCTTTAATCCCAGTGCTGGGACTCGGGAACAAGGGGACTGTTGGGGTGGTTGGCAGGTGCCGAGCCTTGCTGAACTGGTGAGCTCTATGCCAGTGAGATCTTGTCTTGTAGGAAAAGGAGATGGCATCTGAGGACCCACACTGAAAGCTGACCTCCAGAGTCCACACACACGAATACATACACACAGAAATCTCAGTGACAATGTATTATATGGCTCATGCCCCTCAGAGTGATTTGATTACGGGATCTTTTTCTTCTTCTTTATGCTTTTTAACTTGAAAAGTTGCCATTAACATTAACCTTCCTGGCAAGGAGACATTGATAAAATCTACCTGAAGTGTCTTGTGAGGTCAGAAGTAACAGGCCCTGGAAGGGAGCATGCAGAGAGTCACACCTGAGCAGTGGCCCCGGCATGGGGTGGAGTGCTGTGCAGTGCTAAAACTGCTAGAATTACTGCAGTGGTCACCACTGTTCCTGCCCACTGTCCCAGACTGGCTGATCCAGGACATGTGCTATCCCTCATACAGGGCTCACGTGGGTGTCCCGCCCTCCTTGACCCTCCCATGCCACACCAGAGCATGCTTTTGATCCTGGGGACATTTCCACGTAGAATTCTTTCCACCCAAGCACAGCTGGGACACTCCCAGGTCTTGTCACCGATTAATGGGTTAAGTCACTTGTCTTGTCTCCTGCTCTTTGTCTGGGAACATGTCCCTGTTCAAGAAAGACCTTCCTCCCTGTGTTTCCTGGGTGGCTGCTGTGCTCCTTGCAATGGACTTGGAAGTCTGTGGCTGCTCATTCTCACACCCTTTCTAGCGGGCTGTGTCTCTGACCCAGTCCTGACCAGCTGCTTCCTAGGTGTGGGAACTGAGCTCCAGGATCCAATTGGGTAGAAAAGATCTGTTGATGTCTTCATTGTGCAGGGAAGGGTAAGGAGGTTGGTTCAGAGGGGTCATTGTCAGGATGTGGAGGCCCAGAGACAAGCTCCTGAGGGGTTACCTTCTAGTGCGGCAAGGCAGGGTTAGGAGGTGGCTGCCAAGGGTTGGGAAGCAGAAAAGATATTCATGGGTGTTCTGAAAGCTGTATGGAGCCTTGTTCCAGAAAGGCCTACAGAGGGTGAGTGGTCTGGAAGACAGGTCTTAGCTGCCAAGATACTTATTCAGTCAGAGTCTCAACTGTCTCAAACTTAATGCTGGGATTAAAAACTCCCTATGTTCAGCTGTGTGAACATCATTAACTAGCTCTGAAACATGCAATAGCTGAGATCCACGTGAAGTGATCCGGCAGTCTGTTAGCTAATACTGGGAACCTGACAGGTGTACAATCATCTAGGATAAGAACCTCTAGGCATGTCTGAGTCTGAGAGTTTCTGGAGTGGGTTAACTGAGATGGGAAGACCCACTCTAAATGTGGGCAGCACCAGCCCATGGGCTGGCATCCTGGACTGAATAAAAAGGAGAGATGGAGCTGAACACAGGTTCATCTGTTTGACTTCTAACAGCAGGTGCAGTGTGACCCCACCCCTTACTCTTTTGCTACCATGCCTTCCCTGCCATGATAAACTGTGTACCATAAACTGTGAGCCAAGAAGCCCTTCCTCCTTTAGTTTTTCTCAGGCGTCTGTCAGCAACAAGAAAAGCAACCAACATACATCTAGGAACTGATCTGTAGCTACTGGGTGCTAGCAAGCAGAGCGCAGGCTCCTTCCATCTCCCCACTGTCCAAACTCCAAAGGACACGTGCTGCACCCAGCATCCTGAGTGGGAGCACAGTCCAGGGCTACATCAAGACAGGGTTAGCTTTCCCCAGACCTCTAAAATATCACCCTGTGGCAGGGGCTGGCTCTTTCCTGGCCAGCTGCCTCCCTGTACATCCCTGTCTGTCCCTCATATCCCGGACCCAACTGGGCAAGTCATCTTTTGAGACTCATGGCTCTGTAGAAGTCTGTGAGGCTCATGCAATCTTCTTGCTGATATGTCTCTCCTACTAGACAGAGAGTTTCCTGAAGGCGAGATCCCATCTCTGCCATCTCTCTGTAGCCCAGGCTGGGTACAGAGTTCAGAGTACACACAGCAGTCAATATGTTTGCCATATTCATCTTTCTGTAATATACAAGTTTTTCTTCCCATAGAGCACACGTCACCTCAGGTGCGTTCTCCTCTGACTGTGCTTACATTTCCAGTGAGGAACCAGTCCGGCTCATGTGGAGAAAGCAGGACACAAGCCTAGATTTCAATGGCCTTATGAAAACGAGTCACAGAGCCTCCGAGGAGGGCACTAGCGAGATGGCTCCAGGGGTTAAAATTGTGCTGCTGAGATTAACAGTCTGAATCCAATCCCCAGGACCTCCATGGTGGAGGGAAAGAGCTGACTCCTGAAAGTTGTCTTCTGATCTCTACTACAAGTGCATCATGGCACGCACACACACACCACACACATACACACACACCACACACATGTACACATGCAGCGCACACACCCACACATGTACACATGCACATCCCCCCACATGCGCGCACACACACGCACTGTAACAACAACAACAACAACAACAACAAGGTCCAGGAACTGCATTCTAGGCAACACCAAAAGCACAGTAAATTACTTAGGAAAGACTAATCCCAGGTCATTTCTCCAGCACCAGCTGTCTGAAAAGGAGAGAGGGCTCCATCATCCCTGTTTCCCTCTAACCATGGGGTTGCTCTAAGACCAAAGTGCAGGAGTTCTCTGTGGAGATGGGTTACAGGCTTGTGTCAGGAAGCAGGCCTCTCTTTCTGATTTGACCCAGCAGCAAAGTTGCTGTGGAGACCTAATTCTACGCTTTGAAGAGCCACCACAGCACACCAGAGGGCACGAGGCGGGACTCTGCAGCCCCAGTGTTGTCTTTATTGCGTGGTGGCAGTGGTGGTGCAGGGGACTGAACCGGGGGCCTTACACATGCCCAGGAAGCACTCGAACACTGGTGACATCACCAGCACCGAAACCGAGTTTCAGACTTGAGCTCAGTAAAGCTCAGATGCGGTTGAGCTGTCAGTAAAGAAAGCTGACGCGTGGTGAGCAGAACTGAAGACCTCACCAGGAGCAGAGAGTAGGATAAACAGGGACTTGTAGACAGAGGTTAAAGTCAGGTCCCAGTCTCTGCCAGTCAGGCCCAAAGAAGCCAGCCTCTGGTGCCTCCAGCGTAAGACCATCTCTCAGGCTGTTGCTATGAGACTCAAGTGAGCTGCCATACAGTGCGCTGCTGGGAAGACACCCTGTCAGGTCTGCTGCAGGGAGCCCACTCCAGCAGTGTGTCCTCTAGGGACATCCAGGGGCTCTAGAGGGCGCGGGCACGAAGCACTTCAACAACCACGTCCACGTGCACCGGGTTTCTGGAGATGGTCTGGAAAGGCACTGCCAGGGACTGCACATCAGGATGAGCTGCTGAAGGCCCTCTCTTCCCCCAGGGTGAGAGCAAGTTCCTCAAGACAGACACTGGTTTTGGCAGGGAAGGTAGTGTTCTGACTTCCCTCCATAT